CTTCACTTCCTCCTTCCTCCTCTCCTCCTCCCTTTTCCTCTCCTCCTCCCGTTTCCTCTCCTCCTCCTTCCTCCTCTCCTCCTCCTTCCTCCTCTCCTCCTCCCTTTTCCTCTCCTCCTCCCTTTTCCTCTCCTCCTCCCGTTTCCTCTCCTCCTCCCGTTTCCTCTCCTCCTCCTTCCTCTCATTCTTTCCCTCTTTCGCCGAGCTCTTTGCTTTCTGCTTCCCTTCTTTCCCCTCCTCGACTTCTTTCATGTCGTACACGCCCGTCCACACGTCGCTCTCCTCCATCCCTGCTGCCTTTGCCATCGCCTTCACCACCACCCGACCTCCTCCCACCAGTTCCTGAAGGAAAGGAAAGGCGTTAGTCATCCTTCTCTGCCTTCCAGTTTACATCATCATCATCACCACCACCACCACCACCACCACCACCATCATCATCATCATCATCATCATCATCATCTTCTTCTTCTTCTTCTTCTTCTTCTTCTCTGCCAGTATCCTCATGCTCGTCTCACCACTCGATCTCCAGCTTTGATGCTCGTCGACTTGCGCGTTGGCCTCGTCCCGTCCAGCGAGTAGAAAATCTTGACGAGTAGGTGAGGAGAGGAGAAACAGGAAGGGAAGGCGGAGGCGGAGGAGGAGGAGGAACAGAAGAAGGAACAGGCGAAGGAAGAGGAGGAGGAACAGGTGGTGGTGGAAGAGGGAATTGAGGGGGGGAGGGGTAGCAGGAGGGGGTAGAGGACCTCTGCTCCGCTGGTCGAACATTTGAACATGATCGACTTGTGGCCCTGAATGTCATGAGGGCGAGGAAAACCTTCTGCTCCGCATAAGTTAGGAGACGAGATGAGCAGCAGGAGCAGCAGCAGAAGGAAAAGGAGAAGAGGCAGGAGCAGGGGCAGGGGCAGGGGCAGGGGCAGGGGCAGGGGCAGGAGCAGGAGCAGGAGCAGGAGCAGGAGCAGGAGCAGACCTGGAGTTGCAGCTCGGAGCCGCTGCTTCGCCTTGCCGAAGAAGCGCATGAGAAAGAAGGTGGAGAAGAAGAGAAGAGAGACGAGGAGAAACTGAAGGAGAAGGTCAGCACAGCATTTCCTTCACTTTCCCCCACCATGATGCACTGCAAGCAGGTCGTCCTCCTGTTCTTCGCCCGCTGCTCGTCGACCCTCAAGTTGATCCGTTTGATTTTCTTCGACGAGAATCAGAAGAAAAGAGGAGGAAGGAGAGAGGGAGGGAGGAGAGGGAGGGAGGAGAGGAGAAGAAGGAGAGGGAGGAGAGGAGAGGAGGAGGGAGGAGAGGAGAGGATGGAGGGAGGAGATTTAGGGAGGAGAGGAGAAGAAGGAGAGGGAGGAGAGGAGAGGAGGAGGGAGGAGAGGAGAGGAGGGAGGGAGGAGAGGGAGGGAGGAGAGGAGAGGAGGACGGAGGAGAGGAGAGGAGGAGGGAGGAGAGGAGAGAAGGGAGGGAGGAGAGGCAGGGATCGACAAGATGAAGGAGGGCAAGGAGGGATGGAAGGGGTCGAGGAGAAGGACCTGGATTCCACCTGCCATCTCGTCATCCATGGAGGTTAGCCTCTTGTTATCCTGCACGATGGTCGCATGCATCGCCTCCACGTTCCGCTTCAGCGTGCTCGTCATGTTCGCGAGCTCCTCCTGTTCCTCCTCCTTCAGCCTCCCTCCCTCCCTCCTCTCCTCTCCTCTCCCTGCCTTCATCCTCGACTGGATCTTCTTGTCCTCCTCCAGCGCCTCCTGCACGTGCGAACCTTCTCCTCCTACACGGCGGCGCAGCACATGACCCGTCCGTCCTGCTCCTCTCCTTCAGCATCCCAGCAGCACAGCAAGAGCAGCACCAAGCAGCTGCGAACGTCGGTCGGACAGGCTGTGCGGCAAGGAGGACGCAACAGATGGCTGCATGGCGGGAGCAGAGAGGAAGGGAGACTCGCTCGCCTCCTTGCGCGCCTCCCCTTGCTGAACACCCTGTCAACGGACTAGCTGTAGATCCTCGCACCCTCCACAACGCGCCTCCTCCTCTGTATCTTTCCACTCTTACCCACTCTCTTCCCCTCCTCGTCCTCGTCCTCGTCCTCGTCCTCGTCCTCGCGCTCATCCTCAGCCTCATTTACCTGCTCAGACCTTCTCCGCGCTTCCTCTGCAGTAGCAGCAGCAGCAGCGAGGGTCCTTTCATGCTCCTTGAGAGTTTCCGGGGCAGGCGGCCTGTGAACGACGTTAGACGAGGTGAAAATGAGAAGAGAAGAGAAGAGAAGAGAAGAGAAGAGAAGAGAAGAGAAGAGAAGAGAAGAGAATAGGAGAGAACAGAAGAGGAGAGAAGAGGAGAGAAGAGGAGCGAAGAGGTGAGATGAGGTGAGGTGAGGTGAGGTGAGAAGGCAAGGCAAGGCAAGAGAAGGGGATCGGGGAGGATCGGGAGGGAACGAGGACAACGGAAGGAAGGAAAACAAGAAATGATCGTGCAACCTGTCCTCTCGCTTCAGCTCTTCTAAGAGCTCCCGCATCCTCCTCACATACGCCTCAAGCTTCCTCCAGCGGATATCACTTCTGTGCAACCCTCCAACCAAGATCTGCTCCTCGTCCCCATCTTCCTCCTCGCTCAAGCGACATGCGCGTGCAAGCCTGAGAAATCGACATATGATACGAAGCTCGAGGTTTCAGCATCGCAAGCGATGGACAAGAAGACCAGCAATGAGGGGAGGGAACGATAGAGGTGGCATACAGAAAGCAAGAAGAAGAAAAGGGAGCACCGGATTAGAAGATGTCAAGAACATTGAACTGGGTAGGAAGACAATAGCATGCAAGAGAGGAGGGTAGAGCAATAAAATGAATCCACAGGAAACGAGTGTACTCCAACAGAGCAAGAGAGGAGACAGAGCAACGCATGCCAGCATGATATCAACAGGATCAGGACCAGGATCAGAAAGAGCAGCACCCGCAGTACCATCAGAAAGAGCAGGAGCAGGAGCAGGAGCAGGAGGAGCAGGTGCGGGAGCAGCAGCAGGGCAGCAGGAGAAGCTCTTGAGCAGCAGGAGTATTTTGAGCAGGAGCTGAAGCAGCATGTTGAGAAGGAGCAGGAGGACATGTTGAGAAGGAGCAGGAGGACATGTTGAGAAGGAGCAGGAGGAGTTCTGCCGTCTGCTCACCGCAGGAAGTTGACCTCTGCTCGCCCCGCCATGCCAGGAGCGTGGTCTCTCCAGAACTTTGAAACTTTCCGTGCAACCAAACTTTGAAACTTTACGTCAATTGAAAGTTTGGACTATAATATCATAGCCAGTGGCGCTGACTCGGTGCTGCAGGGCCTCAACTCCGAGTCGCTCGGACTACGTGAGAACTGAACTCGAAGTTCAGCTGGACTATCATGAGGACAATCAGAAGAGTCGAGGAGGCTTGACCCTGACACTGTTTCAATGAATCATTGACTGGCAGAGACTAGTCGGAATGGAAAAATTGAGTTTACTAGAACAAGAAGGCGAAGGGGGAGGATGAGAGAGGGAAAACAATAAGGAATACAAGTGAATTAGAAGTCATCAAGAGATCCGAGGGAGAGGCCGGCGGCTCGGGAGCCCGATTCTCTCTTCTTCAGCTCTTCCTGCCAGCTAGCGAGCTTAGAAACCACTGGCTGATCTCCTTTTTTCTCGTGTGTCGCTTTCGTTGAGTCGGGGGAGTCGAAAACGTTAAAAGAATCGGGGTTCTTGTGCTTTGCCTCAAGCTCATTCCATCCATCCCCTCGCACCTTCTTCACCTGTTCTTCAGCTCAGCGTCGCCTGCTCGAGCAACAACACTCCTTCACCTGCTTTACCTGGTTCACACGCGCAGCTTCCTCCAGTCCCGCAAGCATCCGATTGTTCGATTCGACCTACCACATCCCATCACTTCATGATCCACGTCTGCAAGGTCTTCTTACCACGTCCTTCACACTCGGCTCCGCCTTGTCTCGTGCTCTGTGATTTGAGCCCCAAACGTGATAAACCCCACCCACGTCACTCTGCTAACCGTCGGTCAACCAGCACGAAGGAGACCGTCATCACTCGGCACTTACCTTGGCCTTTGCGTAGGGATTGTTCATCTCAAAAATCACGTTCCTCCTCTTCTCAGCGTTCATGATGGAGTCGGGGAGCAGGTCGCCCAAACTCCCTGTTATCTTCATTTTCTCTGCGTCCCCAGCTGCATGTAGCAGGCTGCGGTACTCGTCTCTTGCACTTCGTCTGAGCTCCGAAAGGGAGACGGTGGGAGTGCTCGAGAGCGGGCTCATAGCGAGAGACAGCAGCCGCTCGTCATTCGTGCCCTTCTGTGTGCTGGTTGCTGGTCTTGCTGACAGCGAGAGAGGAGAAGCTGAGTCGGCGAGCTGGGCATGAGGAGAGACGACTTGATGCTTGGTCGGAACTGACGAGAGGGATTGAACTCTTCCGGGCTCTAGGATCATCCCGTCCATCTTCATCTTTCGGATCAGTGCGTCATCCCTGGCCGCCTTGGCTGTGCCAGCAGGTTTCCGAACCCGTTGCTGCCGGAGCTCAGAAGATTTCAGTGGATTTGCAACGCCTAGATCCTGTGACTCAGCCTGCACAGCTCTTTTGATCTCCTGCTGGACTCGCGCTTGATGAAGCACGGCAGTGTCTGAAGCTTTGTGCTGCATCGATGCGAGGATCCCTTGGATCTGCTTGTTTTGCTTCTGAAGTTCATCTTCTGCCGCCGGTTCTTGGCTTACTGCCGCGCTCCCAGCAGGCGGGGAGCCAGGGTACTGCGGAAGGTAAATGTTGATGTTAATCGGGTTTGCCTGAGCCGCCCCTGTGCCCTGCTGCCCGCTCTTTTGAATTTCTTCCACGAGAGAACCCAGGTCCTGCAGTCGAAGAATCTCCTTGACAGGCACCGTTGGATGAGAGCTAAGCCCCATCAGCGATGTGCTTGCCAGCATTTGCTTCCGTCCAAGTTTCAATTCACCCTGCACAACATTGTGAGAAAACTACACGGAGCACAAGGTGTTGGTGCTGAATGCACTCACAGAGTCTCTTTGAGCTCGAAGCTCTGCAGCTAGATGTACGGCTGTTTTCTGCAGTGCCCGTAGCTTTGCAAGCTTCTGTTGAGACCGGAAGCCGTCCTGGTACAGACTCAGCCTGAACTGTTGTTCCCAGCCTCTTTCCAACAAGAGCCATACCTTTGCAAGGTCGAGTTCAGCTTCATAAAGCTTCTTGGCAACAATCTTTGCCCGATTTCTCAAGCTATCACCCTCAACTGTACCCAGGAGAGCATCGCCTTGGAAACCAGCGTTGATACTTCCCTTACCCTCACTTGCCACCCAGACAGTGCAGGCGAACAAGAGCACAGCACCGCAAGCACAGAAACTTCCCCATCTCATCTTCCTCTTATCCTTGACGATGACAGCGATGGCGCAGTAGTCTCCCATTGGCCTTCCCCTCCCATCCCCGTCCCTTCCTCTTCCCTCCGTCACCATCGCCGCCCTCGTCCCGATATAGAGGTCGGACCCACCCTTGCCGTTTTGTTTTCCACCCCTACCCCCACAGAAGCAAGGGATGGTGACATAACCCCTCAATTTGATACTCGAATTAAGGGTATAAGTCCCGGATGGGTACTACCCACCAGGTCAATAAAGCAATCCAAATACCACCCCATTGGTAATTACCCCTATCGCCCGCTTCGGTACCAACTACCCCTTGGGATTATCACCCCGTGACTCAGGCATTTCTACCCCACCTCAATCCCATGCCTTCAAGGACCCAGTCAACACCTGTTGTTTCACCCCTACCCCCCAGGTTTCACTACCCTGGAAACATTCCCATGAACCGTACCCTCCCTCACCCCAAGTGGTACCACCCCCACCCTTACCGAAGGCCTCTGACTCCGCCTCAGAGACGGTGAAGTTTCAAAAGGACTAAGCTGGGCTATATTATTTTTCAATTTCATTTAGCTGAATTACTTTCGGCTCTACAGCCGATGAGGTCCTACCTCGATAGATCTCGGGTACTAGAAAGTAGGGGTACTTGGGCCATACTGGGTCCTAGGAAGATGTGAGGAAAGTTCGGTAGGCTCACAGGTTCGCCTCGCCTACTCAGAAGATGGCGGCGCGCGTGTGCGCAGCGGTAAGGAGGAGGAGGATGAGGAGGGGGAGGGAGGGGGAGGAGGGGGGGTTGGGGGGGGAGGGGGAATTGGAGAGATCATGGCGAAGTTGAGGAGAAGAGAGGAGGGAGGAGAGATGAGACGAGGAGAGAAGGGGGAAACGGATGGAAAGCGAGGAAAGACTCGAGGCAGAAGGGACGGAAGGAGGGAGGGAGGGAGGGAAGGTAGGGGGAGAAGGACCATGAGAGTCATGGGTGAGCAAGAAGCCGTGGAAGATCGAGTCGGAGATATAGTGTGAGAGCCGAACAGGGATGGGAAAGGGAGATGATGGTGTTGAAACGGAATTTGGCGTTGCTGACGCTTGTTGCATTAGCTGAGCAAGTCAGGAGTCCAGATTGCGAGATCGTTTCGCAAGAACGCTTCCTTCTTCGGAGGTATAGCTCTGCGACTGAGCATATGAATGGCCCTTCTGAAGTGCCAGCAGCATCGAGGATCGGCATTCTGAAGAGCTATGGATCCACGGCACGATTTATGTCGACGGAACCAATTTTGGTTCCCAAGGTAGAGGAGGAGGAGGAGGAGGAGGAGGAGGAGGAGAAGGGAAGTGCTGAGGCTGATCAGGTCAACAACATTTATCCCGTTTCAAACTTCAAGGAGGAGATTCGACGACGAGAACGAGTCGGCTTCCCCTTGTTCGTCTCAACAGACTAATCTGGTGATCATGGGCAGGTGGCGACCACTTGGTTTCCCTATCCGGTCTACTCGTTGGAGGTGATGGAAGGAGGAGAAGAGGAGGGAAGGGACGAGGATGATGGTGGAGCAGGAGTTCAAGCAGGTGGGCACATGCCAGCTGGCGTCTGCTGTCTTCCAGGTAACGGGAGGATGATGGCGAAAGGAAGGTGACTGCTCCCGGCAGGAACCGCTCCGAGTCGATATTCTCAACCGTGTGGTCCTCTGGCAACGAGCTGGATGGAGAACGGTGAGAAGGAGAGGGAGGAGGTGGACGAGTGAGGACAGGGAGGCGGGGAGGAGGTGGACGAGTGAGGACAGGGAGGCGGGGTGAGGACGAGAAGGAGGAAGCGAACAAGTTCATGGGATCGTGGTGCATTTCAAAGAGCCTGTCTCTCACTGTTACTGGTGCAGATTGCTCGTATTGCCAAGAACCGAAACATGGTGTCTGGAGGAGGAAAAAAGCCATGGTCCGCTTCCTCCATCTTCCGCCGATGCACAACTGACTGATGTGTTAGGGCTCAGAAGAAAACGGGCAGAGCGCGCCAGGTGAGGCAGTGCTGGTCGTGTAAGGTGATGGTGACAAGTAGCTCGCTGCCAGGGCTCTATCCGAGCTCCCCACTTCAGACATGGAGGAAAGGCGCATGGGCCTGTGCAGGTGGATGACCGGAGGCTGGGGGGTCCCGTGGGATTGCTGACTCCCCGCAGCGGTCCTTTGCCATTGACATGCCCAAGAAAGTGAGACGGCTAGGAGTTCGAGTAGCTATGAGCTCTAGGTCCTCCTTGCCGCTTGAGCGCCAGGACGTTGAACGTCTCCTCCAGGATGCGAGAGGGCAAAGTCTGGATCGTTGAATCTGAGAAGCTGTCGAGTTCAAAGACTCGCCACGCAGCTGCCGTTGCCCGTCAGGTAGAATCTACGTCTGATCCTCTCCGACCTTCGCCCTCCTCGAGCCATCTGCCATTCTCTCTCTTCCTTCTCCTCTTCCTTCCTGCTCCTGTTCTGCTACCTTGCTCACTTCCAGCTCAGTGGGGATGGGATAGTTGTCTCTTCATAACGGGCTCCTCGCCAGACAAGAACTTCGACTTGGTAGGATGCGAGGGGAGGAAGTAGGGGGTGGAGGAGAGAGGGGGAGGAAGCTGCAGGAGAAGTTGGATGCAAGACGAAGTAGAAATGGACTCATTGCTACCGCAGGCGACCGGTAACCTGCCGAACCTACGTGCTATTCCCGCGCACAAGACATCAGTCTATACGTGAGGAGAAGGATGAGGTCGAGGCGCCGCTGCTGACAGAACAACTTACAGGATCCTCAAGCACAAACAGCTCGTCATTACGAAGGAGGTGAGTCGCCCTTCCTTCTCTTTCTTCTTACCTCCCCGTCTGTCCCTCTCCCCGTCTCTTAGTTCCTGTCCCTCCCCCTTCTCTTCCTCCCTTCTCTCCCTGCCTCTCATCTTCGCTCAGGCTGTTGATCTCCTTCACGTTCATTTGTTGCGATGGGCTCCAGCGGTACGTCACGTTGAATGTGGAGGCGAAGGGGACGGGAGGAGACAGGAGGAAGCGAGAGGAGGAGACAGGAGGAAGCGAGAGGAGGAGGAGGAGGAGGAGGAGGAGGAGGAGGAGGAGGAGGAGGAGGAGGAGGAGGGGGGGGGAGGAGGAGGGAGAAGAAGGAGGAGCTGGTGGTCGTCGTCCTCTTGTTCTGCTTGAGGAGGAGGTGGTTGTTGGTGGTGGTGGTGGCGGCGGCGCCGGCGGCGGCTCCTCCTCCTCATCCTCATGCTGTTGTCGTGGC